TTTCCAAAAATATGTGTGTAGTGGTCAGTTATAAACATAATTTATTTTGCAGTATTATAACACTTGGTTGAGTTTATTTGGATTCATCGCCTGCGTTGTGATAATGTTCCTGATCAATTGGAAAACCTCCTTGATCACTTTTATCGTTATTCTCGGACTGTATTTGGTTGTGGTCTACAGGAAACCCGGTAGGTAAACTATTTATTTTCAACCTTATTAGCTTTCGTTTAATGCTATCAAATATTTTGAATTTTTGTGGCTGTTTCTTACAAAGCTGGTACGCTTTATCTCTCTTAAACCTACCATTTAATGCATAATTTTTATTCAGATTCGAGGGCTCTTAACAACGTCTAAATTAAAATGAATGGGATGCTTTTTTAAATAAAAAGGCACAAAAATTATCTTTCTATTCTTTCAACTGCGAAAATTGCTTATGTTTTACGTATTTTTATTCCGTTTCTGGAAAATAAACTTCGGATTTAGTTTTACTATAAGGCTCTCGATTTGAAAATATCGTACATCTTTTAGTACTGTTTAATTTATTTGTCAACCTGAACCATTCGTTTGTTATTTCCAATTGGAAAAAATATTTAAATATTTACTATTAATTATTCTCCAACCACATTTTTTTGTGACGCAAACAAGTTTTTATTATATCATCGATGATTCAGGGGATATTTCTGAGTTATAGAAAGGTAAACAATATTTACCAAAATATAAAAAATAGTCAATTAAAGTTTTTGATTATCTTTATTATTAAATGGAGAAAATTACAATTTAACAAATCATCGAATATTTTCGTTTCAATTCAGTTTCAACTTAGAAAATTATTATTAACAAATATATTCTATACCAAAATAATTTTGAAAAAATAAAAAAACTAAAATTATAGAGGATCATTGGATAACTTTAACCAAAGTTATAAGTATTTTTAAACTCCAAGGATATAAAACAAATATTTTAAATCTATTTGTTGGAAAAAAAGTATCATGTAAGTTTAATCAATAACAGCGCTTTCAAAAAATCGATTAGAAGCAAAAATGTCTTGCAACCGAACTCAGGTTTTTCGTTATTCACATAAACAAATAAAAAACACAGTTTTTAATATAGCAAAATTAGTGCTTTTTCCGTATTTTTAGATGTTAACTGGGGTTCATCGACACAGGCTCAAACATATAAAACAGCCCTTGCCACGGCCCAAAAATTAATAAATGTGGGCGAGCACGTGAAAAACTATAAACCACAAGTTCTGGTACTTTGTGGTTTACCTAAACATCGACCCTCGCTTTTGGATTTTGCAAACTTAATCACTAAGAATCATTCTTTGTTGATCATTGGAGATATTGTAGAGGTACGTTGAAATCGATCGAATTTTTTTTATTAAAACTAGACTTTGATGCATATTTAGGGCAAGTTGGACCACAAATCCAAATCCCAGCGATCATCAGACGTCTACACTTTCTTAAAAAGCAACAAGATCAAAGGTTTTTACACTGCCATTGATGATACGAGTTTTGAAACCGGAGCTACAGCATTATTGCAAACGGCTGGAATTGGAAAACTCACTCCCAACGTCCTTTTGATGGGCTACAAATCAAACTGGGCTAAATGCCCACATGAAGAGCTTCTCGCTTATTTCAACGTACTCCAGTGAGTGCCGCTGGCTAATTATTTTCAATTAATTTACAAAGTTTTGAATGTTTTAGCGCGGCTTTTGATCATCATTTATCCCTGGCCATTCTAAGAGTAAAGGGCAGTTTTGACTATAGCATTCTCACAGAAAGTTCCGAAGGAAGCTCTTCTGATAGTTCAGCATATAGTACAAAAGTTACAGTTAGTGGTTTAAGAACGTCTCTATCTAGTGCGCTAATGATGCATTCGGACTCAAATTTGAGTTTAACTGGCGTAGGTGTTGCAGCTACCAATGAGAGTGCGGAACCAGCTTCCAAGAAATCTGATTCTTTGCAGATCCAGACACCCAAAGAAAGTACTGGTAAAAGCTTCAATTTTTATGCTTTTCCTTTTAGTTAAAGCGCGATTTCCAGATTGTACATTGGACAAGAAAGTAAGAAAGAATAAATCAGATCTTGCTAAACAAAACATTCTGGAAACCTTATCCAACGAAGAACTATTTCGGGTCGAGAATATGAATATCTTCAAACGCAAGCAAGGAAAAGGGTAATTTCATTCATAGAGACTTTACATAAGTTCTGATATTTAACAGCTTGAATATTTTTAGATTTATTGATGTTTGGTGGCTGTATGATGATGGAGGATTGACCATGCTTCTCCCATATATCGTATCTACCAGACAGGATTGGTCAAACTGTAAATTACGGGTGTTTGGTTTGACGAGCAATAAAAACGATATTGCATTGGAAGAACGAAAGTAAGAAAAATCATTAGTGCGTATTGTATGTTGGCGCTCGATTGCGTTTGCTAGGATCACTGTATCATCCGCATTTCTGATTGTAGTTAATGGCTCTTCATTTACCTTGATGCCAAAGTGTGATTCGACGGAATAAATGGACACCTTGGCATCAAAGTACTTAAATGGGGAGTCAACAACTGCAATCAGATATCCGGATGATATGGTCTTGTGTTTTTTTAATTTTGCATGCATTACATATTTTGTTAAACCCTTGAGTTATAAATCCAATATCATCCGCTGTTATAAGTTTTATTCTGAATTCCCTTAGCGCCGTCCGCTTTCTAGTTTTGTTAACTTTGAAGCTTTGAAAACACTCTATATCCTCAAAATTTCCATATAATTGCATACATTGAGACTATTCTTTACAGTATGGCCCATCTACTGTCTAAATTTCGACTCAACTACACCGTTCTCAAAATGGTTTCAATCAGTGAAACGCCTCGAAATGAAACTATTGAATTTTTCAACAGTATTACTGATGCCTTCAAGAGTGAAACTAACGAAGCAGATGGTGAATATTCAAACAAATGTCACGTTGAACTAAATTTATTGATTTCAATAATTTTTTTTTTATAGATTGTCAAATTACGGATGCAGAACTGAAAGCATATCAAGACAAAACTTATCGACAACTTCGGCTTAGGGAACTGCTGATGGAAAACTCAGCTGATGCTAACTTAATTGTTATGTAAGTTTTACTTTTTATGATATTTTTTTCACCATTCAAACTTTATTCTGAGCACCTTCTGTAGAGCTACGATCTTCTTCAAACGCTTAAAATGTATTTGGTTCTAATTAATAATTTTTTTCTCGATTCAATGCTATTCTTTGTGAATATTTTACCATAAATTTGCGGCTTTACTATTTCCTATTTTTTATTAGGTCCCTTCCAATGCCAAGAAAAGGAAATATTTCCGCTCCTTTATACATGTCTTGGCTAGAAGTACTCACCAAAGACATGCCCCCTTTTCTTCTAGCCAGAGGAAATCAACAGTCTGTCCTTACTTTTTATTCGTAGTTTATATTTAAATTCTCCCAAAACGTATAGCGTAAGTCTCACTTTTTTGTAGGAGTAATAAAACTCGCAATTTTGTAAATATTACATTTTTTGAATAAGCAACCTCTACGAGATGACGGTTATAATTTTGCAGATGCAAATGTTTAGTGTAAACATTTTTATATTGTATTTTTTTATATATAAGCATCTACTAGGATATAGAGAACAGACGTGCCCATAACTTTGGAACAAATAACTTATTTAAGTAAAGTAAGTAGGTACGCTCTTAATTAAACGCTCGACTGTAATACTCATATTAAAGGCTAAACTTTTCGTTTATAAAGGTTTTTCAGATTTAAAACCGATTAGTTTTTTTTTTAAATTAATACTCCGGCTAGTATTTGGAACTACTTTTCAGTACTTAGATTTATATTCTACAAAATTACTTAGACATTATCGATTGACAGCTTATAAAATACGCACTCTACCTGCAGGTCAGTAGTAATTTAACTTAATTATATGTGAAGTATTATTATTTTCTACACTATACATAACGAGTAAAAGTATTAGACAATGTTACCTAATAGGATCAGTATCTATGCCAATTGTATTAATGTTAAGTATTTATTTATACACAGCATTGTATTATATCTTAAGACGATATTCTCATAATATAAACTATTTTCCTGGGTTTCAGTTTTTTATTTCACTTTGCTTCAATTTAGAGTAATTTTTAATATTGATATTAATTTATTTTCAGTTTTTATTTGAATTGTAAGAATACACAGGGTGATTGTTTTTCCGTGTTGATGCGTTTGCTTCTACCAAATACTTTTGTAGCCATCAAACACCTCACGCTCACACCTTCAGATGGTTTCTTCTGGTTCCTTTTTGTAAGGAAACTTTTTGAAAATCGGTTGTGTTTTCTAATTTGAAAAGTTTGTATTTCAAACTTAATTTTATTGCTCTTGAAATGTCGGTATAGTATAGCAGAGGCTCCTGGTTTAGTACTTTGGAGTTGGGGGATTTTAGAAAATTGGTAGTAGAACGCCAAAAATTCGATTAAATCAAAGGAACAAAATAAGAAATTAAAAATTCACCCATTTTTTAAAGTTCCAAAATCAAAATATCTTGATCTCCAATGCGCCGTACTTAATCTACTAAATAGAAAGAAACCCAAACTACGATAAAATAATGGCCGTGTACGATCTTAATGTGTACAAGTTGGTGAAAATATTTCCGCCTTTTCTACGCCGAAAGACTCGTTTTCAGTTATTCAGTGCTAAAATTTTCAAAAATTTCTTGTTATTTCGCTTTTGAGAAGTTATTTTTGGAAGGGATATGCACTTATATGTTACTACGTTATGCTGAAATTAGTTCCAGAACGCTGAAATTTTAACATGGTTTTGATAGGAACAGAGATAAAAAATTACACTTACACTTTTCTCGAAAAAGCGGCACTGTTATATTTATGTTTGCCCCCTTTATTGACTATCGGTGACGTCACTTGCATGAGCTACTAGAGCCACCCTCTTCGACCTATAGTGTGGAACACTGACAGGCAGCTAACCGTTTGTGACAGTTTACAGTGGCAAATGCCATACTCAGCTGTGTCAGAGACTACTTGTCTCTGGCTGTATATCAAAACATTGCTAATTTTTTCTTTTGTAACTTTCTCAAATAAAAAAATATATAAGGTAAATAATATTAGTAACGAATCATTGTAAATGTGGGTTTCAAGGCTAACTTGAAATTAAATTGTTTAGCACCGATGCTGATGAGTGTTCGCTAAAATCTTAATCCAAGGGCAGGCGGAAACATGAAGAAATCCATCCAGTTTGGGATACCTGGAATTTAGTGAATATACACAAAGCAATTTACTCGAATTCAAGGTATGACTGTTGCTGTTGCAAACATGCCGACAGTAAGGAAGGTTCGAAGAGAGTCAACAGAAGTGAGCAGTTGTTTAAAGTACATGATCTTCGGTTTCAATGTCTTATTTTGGGTAAGTTTTCATGTCCTAGTTTCGGTTGTTTACTCCCTTGTTTATCGGACATAACAAAAATCAGTCCAAGTTTAACATTCCTGTACAATTCTTCAATGCTTATATTCAAGCTCAATCAATATGTACCATTGTACTAAAATACCACAGGTGTTTGCTCTTACGGATTGTCCTGATATTTTTGTCTATGTGCTGCAGGTAATAGCTATTGGAGATGCAATGGGACATACCAAAAATCAGTTTAAAACTCATAAAATATACTTATTAAAAATATGTAAACGTAGACATTTTTCATTTTTACACCCACATGGAAGCAACATTTGGGACGTATCGTCACTTGATAAATAGTATTATTTTTATATTAACATCAATTCATACAAGTTGGTTCATAGAGTTAGTCGCAATTCTTTGAACTGAATAATACAGGGTTGTTTGGTAAGTCAGAAAGTCAAAGATGCACCCTTGCTCCAATTAGATTTACTCGTAAAACTCGATTCATTTCCTTAAAAAGCCATATTTAAAAGCGCTTAGTTTTTAGTTCGCAGGGTGCTGTTCAAAAATTTAATTTATTATTATTGCACAAACCTTTTGGAACAGTTTAGTGATATTTTTGCTGGCAACAAAACATGTTCTGTGGTGCAATTGGGTGGTTGCAATTGCGTTGTCTAATTTTTAACTGTAGGTATATGTTTGCAGTGCTAGTTTTTGTCCTCATTTTATTCCTTTTTCTTTGATTGGGTATTTTATACGACTGTAATACTCCAAACTCTAAAGGTACTTTGTTCTCGTCCAGTCGATACTTTTGCACAGTTGAGACAAATTTAAAATTATTTAACTACGTTTAATGAGTTTTTTTCATGAAAATAACTTTATGTGTTTAATTTTCAGCTTATGGGCCTATCAATTTTAACAGTCGGAGTTTGGGCATGGTCTGAGAAAGACATTTTTAACAATTTAGGAAAAGTGGCTAATGTTGCCCTTGATCCAGCATTTATATTAATTTGTGTTGGTGAGTTTCCTAATTTTTTACAGATTATTTATTAATTGTTTTATTAGCGCATATGTTATTCCTCCGATATTCCTATCCAAAAATATATTTGTTTCAGGTACTGTAACTTTTGTAATAGGATTTACAGGGTGTGTTGGTGCCCTTAGGGAAAACACTTGCTTGCTGGCAACTGTAAGTGTGGATAATGAGATCTTTTATAAATTGCATTAATTTATTTTCTATGTTTTAGTATGCCATTTTTCTATCAGTATTGCTTCTGTTTGAAGTAACTGCCGCTACATTAGTTTTTGTGTTTAAAGATTGGGTAAGCATGCACAGAAATTTCCCCTTCACAGAAACAATTCAGTCAAATTAGGTCATTGATTGGCATTTCCACGAATTAATCGGCTTGTGCGGTATGTAGTCATTTATTGACTATGACCTGTTCTGGGAAGTCGACTTTTTTATAAAAATTGGGACCAAGTTTCTTCGAAGAATTATTTTCAGGAATATTGTAAATTTTAATTAATTTCCAGATAAAATCCCAAGCAACTATTGGGTTTCAAACTTTCATCATTCACTACAGGGAAGATCCAGATCAACAGAATTTAATTGATTGGATCCAAGAAGATTGGGTCAGTTCTTTCTAATGTTTACTTATATTGTTATTAATTGGTGGTTTTAATATCTTCAGTTGCAATGCTGCGGTATTGAAGGACCGAAAGATTGGGATCGGAACAATTATTTTAATTGTTCATCTAAAGTGGTGGGTAGCAGAGAAGCTTGTGGAGTGCCATTTTCCTGTTGCAAGAGGAAACCGAATGTAAGAGCTTTTGATATGTTTTTTAATGTAGATGATGCTCGATATTATCTTTGCAAATCAAATTTTATTTTTGGAAATTATGTGATGCTTCTATCAACATCGAATTAAAAATTCTAAAGGGAGAAAAATAATTTTTGTTATGAAGAACAATGAAGTTTTGATGAAAAACCACGGTCTCTTTTTGTTTCTTGATTTTCTACTTACATCGAGAGTTGAAATATAAAGTTGAAAATATGGGCTTAATAAGAATTGCGCATTTTTTCAGGAAATTATCAAGAACAAGCAGTGTGGATATGATGTGAGAAAACCCGGATTTGTAAGTACCACATTTTTGTCTTTAGTTTCATTAGAAGCTTAAATTCGTTATACTGCATCAAATTCTGTTATTTTCTCAAAAAAGTCTTGATTTGAACTCCACATATCTTATAGAGAATATTTCTGACTCGAATGTATTTGAGGGCTTAGCGAAACTAAATTTGAATGTTTTATGATAATTGCGTGGTGGCAACCTTTTATTTTTTGCAAGAATGTGTTAAAAATTCAAGTTAAATTTTATTGATTGAACTCAAAATATTTCTGTACCTTCCATTTTAAATGCAGCCAGGAGAGGAAAATCAGATATTTCAAAGAGGTTGCTTGCGAGCCGGTGAAGAATGGATAGAAATTAATTTGGTGCCAGTTGCGGCAGTTAAAGTAGGAATTATAATCCTACAGGTACAAATCAACGTATTTTGCGTATTCACTGAATGTGCACGCTCTTTTAAACAGTCTTCTATTATTTTTCATTTACGTTACTATAATTTCTGTCTTGAAAAAGTCTCTTATTTGTGTAAATTACGTTTTTACAATGTCGTTTGTTTCAATTCAATCAACTGCAACCACCAAACCAACCACACCAAAAAATGGTTCAGTGTTTTCATGTAACGTTAGTTTAAGTTGCCTGTTTGTTGCAACCTTTAGTAGCTTTTGTGTGCTTTACACGTATTTCAGGCTTTCGATGTATCCAAAATCATATACGAGCAGGGCTGTTTGGAGGCTGTCGAGGAATGGACCGAAAAAAACATGATTTCTTTGGCTTCCTACGGCTTTTTGTTATTGTTTTTTCAAGTAAGTGTTTTTAGTTTGCTAACTGTTTGTATATCTGTTTATGTAATAGGAGAAAGTAAGCGAAATATGTAGTTTTGAAATTTTTTTGCATTCAAGTTCTTAAGCTTTATATGTACAATTGCATTGAGTTTTTCAGTTTGCATAGAGTTATTGGAAAAAAATATCCATGTACATTTTTCCACAGGCAAGCTTGTTTCGGTTGCATGTATTCAATTTATGTTGCATGCGGTTTTTCCAGTAAATTTTTGTTTTGGTATATACTGCATTTTTTTTAGATTCTTGGCATCTGTTTTGCTCAGAATCTCCGAGCAGACATTTTTGCACAGAAAGCTAAATGGCACTGACAATTAAGAACTCCCACCGCCGTCTAGTATAACTTTATGTACAGGACAGCGTGGGACCCCAACA